CGGCTGGCGGTGAAAATGGTAAATGCAATTACTTCCATCATTTCTGCATCACAGGCAAAGCCCTTTCATATGATGAAATATATCAAGCACATACATACATAATTCCTCTCTTTTTTTGTGATGATACATAAAGAGGCGATAATGCGTAAAACTGTGCTGAAAATTGAATGTGTGGTCATGCATTTGGAACGTGGATAAAACATCACGGTTCCCAAATTCAAATATATCCAAAACTGGCCAAAAAGTGTGGCTTTCGGTTTTTGGGTGAAAACCACCAACGAGCATTTGCATATATAGAATTTTCCCTCAAGCGCACACATTTCAAAAACTTTTTTGCCGTCACCTCAGATGACCGGATTTCATATCATCCCCCAAACCAAACACCTTAAAAACCCTTGGGAGGCCTTTTGCCAAGGGAGCGCTCTGGGATTGCCGGATGGCTTTGACACACAAACCATCGGAAAATTGACGACGATGACGTTGGCGGCAAGTTTTCTCCGTGACGAGAGCTTGAAGGCAAGGTCAAGAGGGGGGCTTTTTGGGTGGAACAAATCACGGTGTAATCGATAAAATTGACAGTTTATTGGCAACTGACGCCAGTTGAAAACCCTTGGCAACCACTTCACCTCTTTGTCATGCGAAAGCAGAGATGTAAAGGCCACCGTGAATGGGTTAATAAATTGTGTATTGCTGAAAGGAGTATTGCAAAAAGACTCCTCATTGTCACTCTGTGGAATTGTCATGTCAGAAAATGCCAAAATGCAGTGATTGAGATGCATAAAGGGAAAGGATCGCAAATCCACACAACACCTGCCGATGGTTTTCATTGTGTGCCGCTGGGGAAGATGGAGAAGATGAAAGGATTGAGTGCAGATATTTCTCATGAGTCATGCCAAAAGGAAACATTTGCAAATCTCCGTGTCCATTTGTAGCTCTCTTTTCTTTTGACATGTAATATGAGGTTTGCTGAAATTATATTGCAGATTCAGAGTGAGGGCAGGTGGTGGCTTGATGGATCCTTGAGACTTTCAGCAGTCCAGTAAATGGATCAAAAGGAGAGGTTTTTCAGTGGAATAAGAACAATGCTAGAAAGCGTTACTCACGAAATCAATAGAATACAAAGGGATCTCTTGCCATCCTTGGTCTCTTTAGTCTCATCGCGAGAATAGAGAAAGCCAAAAGGGGCTGCAAAGGTGGAGAAAGAACTCGAATGGATATTGAAGGAGTGGAAAAGTTTGGCAATCTAAACTTTATCATCCGTACGCCATCATCAGCGTCATCATCGACTGAACATCGCCGGTGAGTTTGCAAGAAAAGGCGCCCCTTCGCATCGATCCGCACTGGATTTCAGCAGCGCACAAAAAAGCCCCGGCAGTGGAGGAAAAAGAATTAATAATGAAAGGTACTGCTCACCCTCGAGCCACCCTCTCTCTCCCTTTCCCAAAAACAACAATCAAATCCATCATTCAGTGTGTCTTTTGTGTAAATAAATTAATTTTGCTGAAATTTTAAAGTGCCACGTCTTGTCTCGTGTTCCCTTGGAGAATATCTAATTTCGTCGCGATTCACTGCAATTCCATACATAAAACATTTGACAAAAGGGGCGTCTCTGGAGCTGCTGAGGGGGAAGAGAGTTGGCATATTCATGGTGAAGGTGAATTACGTGGAGCGGAGAAAAAAAAACGATGGTGAGAGAAAAAAGTAGATTTAGTTGAGAGATTCAGACACTGCGATAATGTGAAAAATCCGTAATGAATTTTCTCAGATTTCTTTCTTCTTCCCTCACACTGAATGGGGTGGATTTTATTGTGCAGAAGAAATGTGGCATTAATTGAAATATGCCTCAGTGACCTTTTACCTCGCACTGCATTCACTGCAATGATTGCAGCCTTGATTGCAGCTCTCTCAATGACTCAGCTTTATGATGAAAAAAGTGCATTTTTAATTCAATGCTCACCATAAAGCTCACTGAATTTTTGGAGTGGCAAACGGGAATTCAGAAAGATTGAATTTCAATATTTGCAACATATACACACAAAACGGCGGAATTGATTGTTATTGGCAAAATGAGACAAAGAGCTTTTTGCAAAAAGTTTTAATTAAATGTACAACTCTCTCTCTCTCATAATAATTTCTGCGTAAATTAATGAAGAGTGCAAATGAAGCTCGCAAAGCTATCACAATGCACCCTTTCGAATATATCTGTTAATGGGCTACGCATAGCCAGAACATATTGAATTGAATGAACATGGCACAAATTAAATCGTCGCAGGAGTGCAAACAAGACTCTGTTGGACAAGTGCTTAAGCCGTCGATGTTGTTGCGTTTTAGGTGGTGAAGCGGCGTTCTGGTGAATTTGTATGCGAGAGAGAACGACGCTTCTCAGTCCACTTTTGTGGGCTGTTCAATGGACTTAGGGTCTGACTTGTATCCACCATCGGCTTATCACTGTTTCTACACCGTTCGAATTCAACACGTCCTCTAATAATGCGTCCGGGCAAATTTATCCTGTCTATGCAAATGTCATGGTCAGTCGCACCGGCGAAATCCTCCGTCGCGAAAGTGGAACAGCTGCCGATGGACAGGAGCATGAGCTGTGCAGTCTTTCTCCGGACAATTGGATTTATTGCTAAAGTTGCTACAGTTTGCAACTAAAAGTTTTCATGTTAGTCTTTCGGTGGCAAATGCACGCTTATATTGAGAAAATTGATGATTGCCTCACTGTGACTTAAGCATTTTGCATGTTTGTTAGCTTTCCTTGTTTGTGTTGCGAGAAATCACTGTTTTCCACTTTAATTGGATACATGCAGAAAAAATTAAACTTTTCCATCCCCAAATTCTGCAAATGAAAGCCCCCCGCCAATGTGGTCTTTCCCCCTGAGGCGCAATATTGAGTTTTAGGGGTGCTGAAATTACGGAAGGTGGAAAAGACAAAACTTCTGCCTCGAGAGAGTGGGAACCATGAAAGTTTCAGCCAGAACAGATTCAACAATTGCATTTAATCATTAATTGAATTTCGTAGAAAAATTTTCCCTCGCAAGAGCAAATTAAGCGTAATTCTATCAAATGTATATTTTCTGCAAGCGAGTTTTCCACACTCGAGAGATTCGAAATGGTGAAAAGTTTACTCCGGCGCTGTATTCAAAGGAAATTAATTTGCACAACTTGTCAGATGTAATTTTTATCAATCTCACCAACACTGGGTCACTATAATGTCGAGTGGCTGAAAGAAAGGAGATCCAATTAGTTGTGTTATTGTCTGTGAGAAGCAAAAGGACTGACGCTCTGGCTGTAATCAATCGGTTCTCGTGGAGGAAGACAAACTTTCGCATAATCTCTCAAATTATGTGCTTCGTTAATTTCACTCTAATCCCAATGAGATTGGCGATGGTCATTTGTCAAATGGATGAGCGATGATGCTTTGAAGTCGACAAACCAAATCCATCGTGTGAGCAACCAAGGAGAATATCTAAGATGCATCTTTGATAGAAGGCAATGCACTGTGGACAACATGAAAAGGACTAAACCTCAACATCCCACAGGAATTCGCTGTGCGACATCAAAGGCGAGTGTGACGATTCAATTACATTCTTCTTTTCCAATCAACTCGAAGGGAATTCAGTGAATTTTATTGACTTTTAAGTTATATCTACTCAGGAATTTTAATAGTGCTTCAGGAGAAAGAAATCCTTTTCTTATAGTTATACTTTGGGAGTTTAATTTGTAATTTCAAAGTTATGCAAAAAGTGAAAATTTGACTTTTGCTCAATTATGCAAGATTTATCAAATTGTTTCAACTTTCAATTTCAAATAACGTAATTTCTTCTCAAAAATTTGGAATCTCAACAGAAGATTTTTGACTTTCTTCCCAATTTGAACGTCGATTTCACTGTGTCGAAATGCGAGATGAAATGTGAAATGTCGAGAGAGTGCATTAATATACGAGTTTATGAAGGTCCGATCACAAATTATCGTCTCATGCGTCTTCACCTGCTCACGAAAAATTTACACCTGTCCCAAGAGTTGCTCTGCGGTAAAAAAAAAAAGAATCGCAGTCATATTTTGGTCGATCTCGAGATTCACCTCCATAAATCTGTCCATCTCATGGAGCATCGGCAAGACTGACCGAAGTGGGTGTTTTTGTGCGGATTTTATTGTGGCTGCGAGTCTTCCACGCCATTCCTCAAGGGTTTCCAGAGACAAAAGAGCGCGCGCAGACAAAAGGCGGGAAGGGATTTACATATCACCTGCTCGTCGGGTGAAATGGTAAGAGATACAGATGGAATTTCAATGAGATTCGGACGAGATTTTATATGCTGTGCGGATGCATTCGGTGTTGTATCGGCAGGTGTGGAAATTTATGTTTCACCTCAAAGGGCTATTCTTTCTCTTCTTTGGGCCGCGCATCAGTCAGAGCCGAATGTTAAATGGCACATTTCGTTTCATGGGCCTCACAACCCCGAAGATAAAGGGTGAAAAAGATGCTTGAGGAAAATCAACTCCATTCAACACCATAAAACTGAATAGTTATCGTGGCATTAACACCTCTTCGGCAGGAGGTGAAATTGTTTTCACACCCTGACGGTGCTCTTTTATCTCGCATCACTCACACTTCACCCGATATTTTGGTCACAATATATTGTGGAAAAATCCCAAAAATATGACAATGATTCACACGATGGAAATTAAGCTCTGCTTGTGGAAAAACTAATTCACTTTCATATCTCAAGTCTTGAGAATGTGCGATAAGATGAATTTTTTCTTCTCAAATGCTGACAAACAATAAAAGTTTATTGGATATTTCACAGTGACATGAAGCACTTCATATTGAGGGCTTTGCCGTCAAACACTTCCGCTCCAATGTGAATCTCGAAAAGACTTGCTTATGGGGATCTTATCAGGTGTCGTGACGAAAAGACAGTCTCTTATCACACACCTCATGAGAGAGTCACCTCAAATTACTCCAACTGTTCACTTGTGTGGTGAAATATCTGGTTGAACGTTGCTGACGATCTCTTATTATTATTTATTTGTAATTCGATTCTCTGTTCTGTGACACCTTTTTTTCACTTCCTCTTCCTATTTGTGAAATGGCACAGTTCAGCCAAATAATGCAGAATAAGCTGTAGAACGTCAAAATACAAACAAGAGCATAAAAACGCCTTACACAGTATTAATATATCCATAGAGTTCTTTTGACTAAAGCCACTTGTACTAGTTCGCCATTGCTTCGTACACTTTAGATATTGCCTAAAATATATTCAGCTGATTTTTCTGTGTCAACAAAATAATGATAACGCAGCAGTTCAATATCTCGCCCAGACACGCTGATTAATCTATACTTTGAAGTTCACATCGCAAGTCTTGCTTATAGTGTTCCTCATACTGTGCCATTTATGAGTGAATATTCTCATATTTCCTACAAAATTCTCAGAAATAATGATGTGGTGAAGTTTAGTGCTCAGAGATTATGCAGAAGTGCCGAAATGAAAGCAATCAGCGTGAGAATTTGGCTGCCAATTGCAATAATTGCCTTGCTGGGACTCTATATTCTAGCGACAAATCAGAAAGCGGAAGCAAATATTGTGGAATATGTGCCAAATGTGCCTCAAGTTCTAACACAAAGTGCAGTTGAAGTGATATCAAAGGACATTCCGCAGAACTCCACTCATTTGAGTGACAATGTCTTGGCGGATTTGAAGTGAGTTAAAGGAATTGTGATAAGGTTGCTTCATATCATGAAAGGAATAATGCGAAAGTTTCACCACAATTCACAACCATCTGCCGTAGTATAAGTTTCATTTTTTTCGAGACTTCGCACAGCCCTAAAGTATTGATTCTTGCACAATTGCGATAACACCTGTGCAGTTTTCATTTCAACCCACAAGCAAAAACAAATGATATCACAATCGAGCAGTCACGATAAGATACACTTCGATTGGCGCTCTAATGATAATCCGTACATACAGGGAATTGCTGGGCTGTGATAACAAGCAATATCTGTCGAGAACTTACCAGCGTGGAAACTATTGGGTGCTGGAGAATTACGTGAGAGCAACGCATGGGAACATCGATTGCTACGAATCAATTACTTACACCACTCACGGTGACTTCACATTCCTGGACAATGCAATTCCACTCGTCAAGAGGTTTGTGCTGAAAAACTCCGAAAAAATTACTGGGCAAATTCTGACAATGTAAATGTTTTGGCAGGTGGCGAGCGCCCGTGGGCATGTCTCTCTTCGCACCTGGAACTGATTTTCAGCCCACAATTGACTCCATACGGTACCTCAGGGACTGCACTGGTGACGATGGTGAGCTGCTGAAGAGGTTCATGACTTTCCACATCTTCTTCCACGTCGATCACATTCCCATCTCCGTGCCGCGGGCGGAGGATCTGCTGGCGGCGCCCTTCAAGTGTCCAGAAGTAGCGCCATTTGAGAGTTTCAAGCACGAGGACATGTTCAAGACTCTCAAGCAGCTCACCTATCCCATCAATGTGGGCAGGAATGTCGCCCGAGATGCCGCCATTACTCATTTTGTCTTCCCCAGCGACATCGAGCTGTATCCCAGCCTCGAGGTGGTGCCCAAGTTCCTCGAAATGATCGCCCGGAATGAGGGTCCATTGCGCAACAAGAAGCCCAGGTGAGACGAAAAGTGTGCCAAAGAGAAAAGAGGATTATTAACAATACAAGTTGTCTTGTTCACAGAGTTTTCCCGCTGCCGGTCTTTGAAGTGAAAGCCACCGCTCGTGTTCCGGACAACAAAACCGAACTGCTGCAGATGCTGAAGACGAAGGACGCCATTCTGTTCCACGAAAAGATCTGCTCCAATTGTCACGCCGTACCGGAGAGGAGTCGCTGGGAGGCGACTGCCGAGGGCGCCAGGATGGAAGTGTTTGTCGTGGGGAAGCGCGAAGGGAGCTTCCAGCACTGGGAGCCCATCTTTATTGGCACCAATCGCGAGCCCTACTATGAGGAGCGCCTCAATTGGGAGGGCAAGAGGGACAAGATGACGCAGGGCTATCAGCTGTGCGTGAAAGACTACGAATTTCATGTCCTTAGCGATGCTTTCCTGGTTCATCGGCCGGGCATAAAACTGATGCAAGCGGCGCGGAGGGTGAATCACGAGACTGTGACAAACAATCTGATAGATAAGAAGATCTCGCGCGAACTACATATCCTGTTCGGCACGAAGAAAGGCTGTGTCATTTGATGAAGCAATAAATCCACCCAAGTTTGCGTCTGATGAAAATATTGTGACTGAATATAAATTAGTGAAAACTTTTGGGTTGGCAAAACTTTGAAGAATGTGTAGAGTTTGCAAGGGGGAAAAGTTCCAACTCGTGTGTGTGACTTTTAGCGCGAGAGCGCCCCCTTTTTCTCCATGCTGTGCAAAATGCAAAATGTTGCCAACCCCAGAGAAAGTGGCGCGAGATAAGAAAAGCCACCACCGGTTGATTAATTAAGCCATCAATCATTTTAATTAAAGCATGAAAAACATAGGTTTATACTCACAGCATGAAAATTCATTTCACCTCATCATGCTTTGCCACACGTACATCACAGTGCCACCCCTGGATATTTTTGCACCGCTGCAGAGGGTGGAATTTTATAAAAATATTCAACAAAATCAGGGGTGTTATTCTATGCAAAATTTACCAGGATTTCCACGAATATCGCAGTGTTTTTTTTTACAATGCAGAAAACATTTTCACGGATGACTTTACAGAATTCAACCCTGGATGCATAATATTTTGGACAATGATTTGACTATTTTCTCCAACAATGGAAACACCCAACATCACTCACAGACGCATTAATGCTTTTAACTCCCAATTTTGTCATTAATTAAATTGAAACGTTTAGCGAATTGTCAGAGTGATTTATAGCCGAATATGTTTTTGTCACGCAAGAGGGTGCATAGGAAGCGCTCAATTTTTATCCCCTATTCTTTCATTATCACACCAAACAGTCAATTGTGCCATTAGGCGAATTGGAGAGTGGATTCTGCAGATGTTGCACTGCGAAGGAGCTTTAAATGAAAATTTAAATACTGCATCTTGCTGACGTAAAGCTGAATGCCATTAATTTTGCAGACATCGTTATGCACCCTGCAAAACGTGAGCAATTCAACTGTGGGCGGAAATGTCCGTGGCAGAAGCCACAAGCACCCCTTCGACAATTCACCACTTTGGTGTGCATGATTTATTTGCACACAAGCACGATGTTTTGATTAAAATTGAGGATTAAATTTGTACTGAATGGATAATATTTGTATAATTAAGCTCTTTCTTCGCTACTTAGCAACCCTTCAGTGAAATTTCTCCCTTTTGCATACCTCGCGGCGTTTGCATGTTTGAATTGAGTAACGGTCCTTCAGAGAATCCAAGCAGAGCACATGGATGAAAGGTAGAATGCAGATTTATAGGAAGAAATCTGAAAATGGGAGCTATTTATTCATTCAAGCATAGCCACAATCTCCATCTTTCCGCTCTGTTGACCACTCCAGGGCGGCTCTTCTCCTTGTCTTGACCCACAGTTATCGGGGCCACTTAGAGTTGGGGTTGGACTTTAATTAAGGCGTTCGCAATAGTGATCCACAAGTTGTCCGACATGCGAAACGGAGATGCGGCGGGCAGATGGCGAAGAGGAAATTGTCCAGAGGGAGCGAGAATATCAAGCAAATGGAGTGCAAATTTGTGTACCGGACATCCTATGGAGGCGCAATTAAAATCATAAATCCCAAGACAGGAGGCGCTCATATTTCACCGTGCAACATGCTTCATAAATTTCCATATAGCTATGGCGGCACATTTAATTCGCATTTATCTTTCGCTCCACACCCACTCTCAGCCGCATGGCGCAATTTAACACCCATCTTCGGGGTGTCTGATGCTTCCCCCAGGAAAAAAAAATTCCTCCATCATCTTTGCAATTGCACAGGGAAGTGTCTATGGTTGGAAACCATGGAATCATCTGCTCTCTGCGGTTGCAATATTGCCGAATCCTCGTGGAATTCATCGCCCCTTCGGTTCTTTCAGAGAGATTTTGGGTATGATTTATAGCTGAAGCAATTTCACTCTGCGACGCAGTGCTCAAAATGCCTCCGAGGGTGACGAATTTTCAACCCTCACAGTCACAATATTCCTCAGCATATTGAATCATGTGCAGAAATGCATTAAATTTCCACAGAGACACGCTGCAGGAGATTAAGGTATTTCACGCCATAAGTGCACCATCCAAAATTCACTGAGACTTTGCACTAAAGCTCCTCGAAATTAAAGAGAGTCGTTCTCTTGAGTAACTCTCTATTAATTTTCTTGATTTTCCTGGAAATCACTTTCTGAACATTTCCCAGAAAGTACAAAGTTACTTAAACATCACACATTATATTTACTGCACAACAATCGTTTTGTTGGCAGCTTTAGCCTTCTTATCCCCCATTTCTAATTAGTTATATTTACCTTTGATGTTGTGCAAACTTCTATAATTTGTTTAGAACTTCATGAAGCTATGCATTTAGCATCTTTGATCATGTCCATAATAAAAATTCCGTAAAGTGAAAAAAAAAAACTGCACCAGAATGCTTGACTAAGAACTCATTTGAGAATACAAGAAAGTCTGAGACCGGAAGACGCTTCAGCAGCCACAAATTAATAATTCACTCCTCCCAAGAGTATTTATTTCCTCGGTGTACCATCAATTTGGGAGACCCTTCATCAAGTATCACTGTGCGTTAAATAACTTGACGAGATTGAACCCGTCTGGTGATTTGTCTCCATTGTCTTAAAGCTCTGCCGGCGAGGGGTGTGAGTGGCCCTCTTTCTGGATTCTCAGTGCGCTCTTGAGGAAATTTATACCCCTTGAAGCAATTTGCCCGTCCCTCGTGAAGTATACACTCCTCATCTACCTGAAAGTGTCCAGAAACTTATTGTGGTATTTGCTCGATTTAATTATTCAGTTTATATGAAATCCCTCGCACAGAATTATGCTTGGGAAATTAAATGCTACACAGCATTTTGGAGTCCCTCTTCCAGGCACTCTGGATGAGGGTTGCGAGCTTAAAAGTGACCACAAAGGAGAATAGAGGACTCTAGGGAAATTAATCCTTCCTTGACTAATTCTCCGTCACAGCAGACACACTGAATTTATCACCAAAATATGCTGTCTGCTTCAGCATAATCCCTGGGACACTTTCCTGTAGGCATTCGATTTCACAAGGCGGAAATGCTTGAAACTTAATTAAAAATTTTTCCATGATTTTGATAGTGCATAAGCACATTTGCGCCAAGTGTGCTGTCCTCAGACTTTGCTCACCCATTTGATGTTGACGGCGAAAATGCATCTGAAAGGCAGTCAAACCGAAATACCGCACAACCAAGGAAAACCACAAGTTGAAACCACTTCATGTCACTCTGTCTATTCAGCATCATCAACACCGACGAGCGTGATTCTGAGCTTGTTTGTCTGGCAATGCATGGGGCTTTTTTCAACGTCCCGAACATGGTTTTGCCAGTCAATAAAGCGCAATTGTTACTGCACAAACACTGCCAAGCCTCTGCTTGTCACATCCTTTTTCTTTTCACATTTTTATTGCACAATCCCTGCGGAGATGCTCTGTAATTCTGTTGAATTTTAAAGAGATTGAGCAATATTGTCGGTGTGATATTTTGCAGCATAATATCGAATAGTATCAAGTTCAGATGCTTAAAACTCATGAAATCAAGTGCAGAAGGCAGCATAAAACATCCCTTTAATCAAATATCATGGCTCAAGTCCGCTTCACGCTTGATTCTCAGCAACACACACACACACAGATTGTTGTACTAGAAAAAGAGCCAACATTGAGGGTTGAAACAAGAAAACAGTTAAACTGTGACAAATTCGAGCCACTCAGGCCTCGAGGACCTAAATCAATTTGTGCTGTTGAGCCTCGTGTCGAGCGAAACCCATATTCCCATGCTGAGGGACGCGCTCTGCAGAAGAGGCATGTGCGAGTGTGCAATTGCTGTCTCTGGAGGAGCTCCACACTTGGCGGAGCATCACCACCCCCGGATGGAATGGAGTGGCATTTAGAGAGCGACAGAAACAAGAATTTACAGCTCTCATTTCCGAAAATGGCTCAAATTTCCACGATAAAAACGGGAAATCTCATTTAATGTCGACGCTTTTCAATGATGCCAAAAACTTGCCTTCATCCCCGACCATTTCATATCGTGTAATCCAAACACATCCCACTCACCCTCTCGTCGTGTGTGAACGCAAGTTTGAAAAGGGGTTCAGCTTGGGGCGTGCGGGAGTCATTGGAGAAAAGCTCTCAGTGACGAGCTTTTCATACTCTGCCGTCGCCTAGAAGTTTTCCTAAGTTCACAGGGTGTGTACGTGCGGCAGGAAATACAGAAATAATTTTTCGCTTCCTGCTAAATTTCCATTTATATCGTTTCATACATATAAATTGATTTCTCACAGGAGAACATCCGGTGTATTTATTCACACATCGTCATGCTCATCACTTTCTGGGCACCACACGGGTTTGTATTTCCGTCAAAGCTTATGCTCTATATCTCACCTCGCTGATGCAGATAAAACTTTCCACAGCGCGAAACTTTTACGCGCGAGAAATAAATGAGATCCACATAGACTTTTTCCCGTTTTGCATTTTAATGATATTTGCTCACTCTCTCGAATTGAAAAAAAAATCGTTAGCCAGGAAGAGAGAAAGACAAGACAAAAGAAGTATTTCTTAATGATTTATCTTATTTTCCATAATTGTGCATTATGTTAATATGTTTAACTGTTCAGAATTTGGTAGAGAAGTTTAATTTTTGCTCATGAGCTTTGTGTGTTGCAAAACATTCCATTTGTCTAAAGAGAAATTCGTTTCGTATACTTTGCGCAAAGGAATTTCCTTTAGGTTGTCTGTTCAGCATTCAATTGCATTCTGGGTCAGTTGTGAGAAGAGTTTATGACAATTTCACCCCATACATTCTAATTAAAACACTTTAAATAAATCTGAAGCGTTTTTGTCTCTCATCTAGAGTTGTAAAATCAATTCCCACTGGCAGAAAAGGACACATGTTATTGCATTTATTCATGAAAGTTTTAAATTGCAAAACAATATCGCTGGCTCTTGGGCGCCAAGGCGGGGAAGAGGGAGAGAGAGAGATCATACAATGTTCCTTTAATGGCATTAAATTGCACTATAAAGTGGCATCAGCATCACAGCCAATGGGGAATTCTGTGCAATTCCATCCTCCTCATCGGGGATCCACTTTACCCATAATACAATGCGATCTGATGGTTCTTACTTCCAGCTTC